TCTGGTCCTTTCGTTCGAAGCTATCCACCTGTGTAAAGTAAGCAAAACTAACCGTAACAAACCAAACCTGGCTTCTGTGATCAACACGGTTCGTTCAATTCGTATGTGGAAAAATACAAAGCCCCCTCCCCGACAAGTCCGGTGTCCGATGCTGGTTTGACCAAATCATGGAGTCCTTGCCAACGTCCAAAACGTTCTACCTACGGCTGTGCTTCTACAGTAATGGAATTGAAAGTTTGATTTGTCTCTCGCCACAAAAAACTGAAAACACGAGAGATGGCAAAACGTCTACTCGTTCACCAAGAGGCAGATCACTTGAGCATATGATAGTAAACACTTCACACTGTTGTGATGTAGAAGATTCAAGGCCCTCCCAAAACATGCGTTGCGTGATTGCCGGAAGGCATGTAGAAAAGCCTTTAGACGCTGCTGTGCCGATGACGCGAAAGGATAACGGGTTCTAAGATGGATGGATTGATGACTGAATGAACGAATGAAAAAATTTAAACAGTGCATTAACGACAGAACCAACAGACGAAGAAGAGAGTGAGTGAGGTGAGCAAATGAAGTAACGAGTTAAAGAGGAAATGAATGAGGAAAAGACGACCGAAGCGACCGTCATACAACAATATTACGTGCAATCATCTGGAAAGACTTACCTTTAACAATCAACTTGGCCTTATCTGCTACAGATACCTAACAAAAAACAAAAAGAATTCGGAAATATATTCTGATATCATACCTCGACGGAACTGTATCTGATGTTGGTGACCGTTTTGGGAGATAGAGTGAAATATACCTGTACTGTAATTGGTAGGCACACCAATTATGAAGGTATGTTACTATGCAGAACTCGTCGGTCATCACTGAAGTTGTTTCGTGGTTACTCTAATGGAGGCGATGGCGACTGAGTAGACTCACTTGGGTGATATTATTGATTCTATTATAAGATACTGGAAACTAAATACCCTCTAAGCTGAAAACCTGGTGTCCAATAATGCAGTAGAACATTACATTGTATTATGGGAGCCACCTGGCGATTGCTTGCAGATTGTTAATTGCATACGTGAAGGCATTTGGTTCATTGCCTTTCGGCAGGTTTTCTGTTGACACGGTAGCACTTGTATTTTTAGCTAACTTCATCCGACCGGTTTCGCCTCTGCATCGGCCTGCTAGCGACAAAAGTGAATTCGTGATATGACTGAAAAGCAACGAATTGACACAGCCAGTAAAATGTCACCATCGACGACTGTAGGTGCTCGAAAATCATGACCTACTTAAATGGTAATATCAACGTACACGAGAAGGGGGCCATACAATAAGGCATGCAATCTGATCTGGTACGAGCCAACTGTTTAGTACTGTCGTTCTGTTGGCTCCAGCCGCAAATCGATACGTTCAGCCGGCATGTGCGTACAAGTTGGTCACTGATGCTTCTAGAACTAAAGGTGTGCACTTGAGGCAAAATTGCCTCATCCCTCATCTTTATCAGTGACCCAGTTTGCAATCAGAGAACAAAACTTTCAATGTAAACATGGTCTGGCTGAGTAAGGGCGGAGGCGGACGCACGAAAGTGTGCATGGAATTTTAAGAGGCACAAATCGAACATGTTGTTTACAAAATTTCACAGAGAGCAACCGAAGAAAACTCAGCGAATGACATCCCTGCATGTATCTTATGGCTTAATCTGCCTAACAGCAGATCTTCCTCTGAAAATGATCGGTGAGCCTTTTACGATGAGTAGCAGTGCTGTTCGATGATCACGTGCTGTGCAGAGAGGAGAATCGGACAACTGATAAAATATGCAAATACATGTCTTTAGGCTTAAACATAATCCAGGCTAGGTGTACACCACTATGAGACAGAAATCACTCATACAAATCAGTACGCGGTACTCATTACGCGTCATTTTCTCACACCCCATGTTCATAGAGGCCCAGTGGGACGTTAAAGTAGGCCGAGGCGTGTTGATATTTGAGCCGCTGCGGTGCGAGGATGCATCAGAGCATCAAATCGTTGGCTCGAACAGCACACTGCTCATGGAAACGACGCAACTTGTGGTTGAGCAACATACGCGTTGGTTATGAATCCGAAAGTGCATTTGCATTATGACTAGCCTCTGAGCAAGTTTTTCGGTGTCAATCAGGCAAGCGACCAGACTTCTTCCAATGAACCAGAGGAGCACCGACGTCTAACCCACTTTCGTCCGCCATCTTTGCCATCCAACGTTTCATGGAGCAGCTTGAAAACGTAGCTCGAGACACGAAACTAGACCTCTCTCCAAGGGTTTTCAACGGATACGTTGACGACATTGAGCCGTTTGTTCGAGTGGTGACGAAAACACGTCACCGGACCTAATCAATTGCCCATTCCCACAAAATATCGAGTTAGCGATTGAAAGCGAAAACAGCCGCAGTCTACCATTTCAGCACGCCTTAATACTTAACTCCTGTAACTGCTATAGAACTAAAGCTTATTGTAAACCTACTAGCACTGTTAATACTATAAGATAATCGTTTAAAC